TAATTAAATGGTTTTAATTTAAAAAAATCAAGTTGATAACAGATAAGATTTGCTCCAATTATTTCTTTTCCTTTTGGTACTCCACTGAGCCAGTAGGCCCTAGCCAATAGCAAAAGAAAGTAAATGTTAATGGAAAAACCAGGAAAGAAGAGCCAGTTTCAAAAGTTCATTTATCTATGGCCATGCCACCCTAAACATGCCCGATCCCGTCTGATCTCGGAAGCTGAGCAGGGTCGGGCCTGGTTAGTACTTGGATGGGAGACCACCTAAGACTAGGTGCAGTAGGCATTTAAAAAAAAAAAAAAATTCATTTATTATAGACATATCTGCTCATGGTCAAAAGTGTATAATATGGTTTATAAAATGTATCTTTAAATTTTTAAATTTCTAAAGTTAAAACTTTAAACAGATGATTTACTGCTAAATCATACTTTGTGACAGAATTAAAATGGTCAGCATTTCATGATGTTTAAAAGCACCATGACTTTCATGGCCATGAGATGTCTGAGAGTCACTCCCTTACAAGAGAAAATGCAAACTTCCACAGCTGCCACGTGGGCCTTCAGGACCTCTGCCCTGCCATACTCTCAGCTCACCTGCTGGTCCAGCTGCAAAACATGCGCCCACGCGGGAAGGCCACTTCCCCTGACCCTGTCCCCGCGGGACGTCTTCTCTTACCAGCCCCAACCCCTTCTCCCCAGGCCAGACTGCCACTCTCATCAGGCGCTGACAGAGTGGACAGCACTCTGTTATAAGACTCATGTTTCACCACCTGTGGTCGAATCTCTCCCTCTAACTAGACACAAAACCCTCAGTTCATCTCCAAATCCTAAGAATTGAGCACAGTGCCTCACCGAAAAGATACATTTATAAAATGTCGAATAACTCCATTGCTTAAGCTAATCGCAACACTCAGATCTACGACTATAGTCAAACTGTGTATAAAGAAATCGGCTGGTTAAGTTCCAAAGAAGTAACACAAACCAGAATCGCAGAAGGTCAGAGATGGATCAACAAATACCACGTTAATGACAAAAAAAAGAGCCACCCTAAGTGCTACCCAATTTTTCTAATTATTTTTTAAAAACTCTGTAAAATTAACTTAATAAATGAAAATTAAATAAAAGGGAGTTTTTCCCAAATGTTTTATTTCTTTTTAAATGCTTTTTAGTTATTGCTGTTGTTACTTTGTTTTGTAAAGAATTTTTGTTTTTTGGTTATTAGTTAATGAGATTCGTGCGTGTTCTTTAGAAGGTGAGAAGGATTGGGAAGAGAGAAAATGAGCTAACATTTATTAGGTGCTAATTTTCAAATGAATTACTTCATCTTCACTCCAATCCTATAAGAAAGCTATTATCACTCCCATTTTAGAAATGAAGGAAACCAAGCATCAGAAAAGTTAAGCAAATTGTTCATGAATATGTAGTTAACAAGGGGATGAACTGGAAATTAGGGTGATTGACTCATCTATTTGTCCAGGATTTGCCTAGATTTTGCAATGGAAAATTCCCATTTTAAAACTGAAAGTTCTTCATCTTGGGAATTTTCTCAGTCCTGAGAAACCGGATGGTCAGTCGCCCTAACTAAAATTTAATTCCAGTTCTGGCTGACTCCAAGACTGGGCTTCCATCAACTCCACTACTGTGTCCTGGGGCAGGGAGCACACTAGCTGGCCTAACCATGATGGCATTAAAAATTTCCAAAATGTAAACAGGCTAGTCACACATGAGTTTGGTTTTCTTTTGAGGCAGAGATGATCGTTACCAGTTTGACTGCTTTATGTTTTACGAAGTTAGCTATCTTCTTTCTGGGTCCCAGGGGTATTCCCATTTCCTTCAAGTCGTCAACAGTACACATAAGCTTTAAAAGAAAACAAACAAGCACATTAATTAATCAATTAATCAGCTGAGTGACAGATGAACTAAAATAGAAAAAAGGAAATTATAAAAAAACCATATCATCTAAAGCAATCTAAGATCTAGTCAATTATTTTAGAAGTTATTGTTATTTGTTTTTAAATCATAGAATAATTTAGGCTGTAAAATCTTAGGCCTCCACATCAAATCATTTCATTAACTTTTTAACAGAAAATATATGCATATTGTACAAAATTCAAAATCTGCCGTAATGAAGGCTCTCCCCTCCACTCCTGTCCCAACCACCCGGCTCTCTCAGCAGCAACTGCTGGCAATTTGCTCTCCTTCCAGAGAGAGATATCTTCTGTATACACAGCATCCGTGTGTGTGTGTGTGTCCGTCCTCCTATGCAAACAGGAGTGAACTTTGGTCTTTTCACATAATGTATCTAAGAGATCATTACACACCAGTGTCTCTGACACTGCTTCACTCAACAGCTGCAGGGTACACCATTATGCAGATGCACAATAAATGGCTTCACTGGTGCCCTACTAGTGGACATGAAAGGTGTTTCTAAGGTTTTTGCTGTTACAAACAGTGCGGCAGTGAGTATCCTTGTACATATTCTTGTGTGAGTGTATCTCTACAGAAAATACTCCTGGCAGTGAATATAGTGGAACAAAGGGTATATATTTTTTATTTTAAAAGATACTGCCAAACTGCCGTCCAGAGAGGTAGTACCAATTTGCACTCTTAACAACCATGTGTAACAGTGCCTGTTGCATCTCATCCTGGACACACAGTATATTATCAAACTCTTTGTTCTTGCCAAACTGATAGGTTAAAAATAATTTCACTGCACTTTTAATTTGCATTTCCCTTAGGAGTTTTGATATAAGAAGCCATTTGTTATTTTCTTTTTTGTACATCATTTGTTCTTATTCTTTTCCTATTTTCCCACTGTGTTAACTTGGATAGTTAACTTGTAGAAGCTCTGAATAGTAAGGAAATAAGCCCTTGTCTGTAATATGTATTCCAAATATTCTTCTTAATCTATTATTGGCTTTTATATGTTATTTATGGAGTCTCTTGCTACACAATTTTTTTCTTTTAGGGCTTCTGGGTTTTGTGTCACACTTAAAAAAACCTTCCCAGATTTTTTTTTTATTATCCTGTGTGTTTCAATTTTTTAAACATTTAAGTCTCTGCTTTATCTAGAATGTATTATGATGTAAGAGTGTTAAAATCATTCTTAATTTTTGATTTATACACAGAAAAAACAATTTTAAACAAAAATAAATCGAACTATCATCAGTACCAGAGATTCCATATCGATCTTTTCCTTTTCAAAAGTGCTAACATATTCAGAGAGGCTAAGTGCTTCCAGAGTTTCTTGCAAAGTTAGGACTTCTTCATTTTCAACATCAAGGTCACAAGACTCATCCAATATCAGCTTTGGCTCTTCAGACATCTTTAAAAAGAAGTTGGAGAACATTACAAAACTCAGAAAAACTCCCATAAAAACTCTCCTAATCACAAAAAAATCTTAAACAATTCTGTTCACTTTTTAGTAGTTTGCCACTCAAAGCTTTACATATTCTGAAAAAGCATAGAAACAAATCATTCATGCTCCCATAACAACGAGCTATATGATTCTGTCACACTTGAAAACCTTGGTGTATTCTGATATACAGAAACAGTTGAGATTTTGGAAAACTGTTCAGCTCCAACTCTAAATCTAAATGTTAATTGGGCCATACCTGCTTTTCCTGAAAATGTGGCTGTTTCACAGCTCCATTAGCAACAGCAAAAGCCTCGGAAGACTTGGATAAAGTCAAATCTTGCTGATTAGACAGGATGTCAAACAATATTAAAGAACCTAAAAGAGAAGTTAGCATTTTGCTTTTTAATGTACTATGTGTTTTTTATAACACTAAATACGTTCTACTTTGTTTTTTTTCAAACTCCCTGGGCAGAAGTTATACAAAACTTAGATATTAATCAAGATCTGATCATCAAGATCCTGGTTTTACCAAATAGCAGAAAAAATTAAAATATAAAGCATTCCTAGGTAATATGAAAGGTGGATATAGCAAAGGTAAAATATAAACTCAAAGCATTTGTTTCTGCCTTTTATAAAACTTAAAGTGTGTAATTCTCAATCTTGCACTAACAATGTCACCCACAAAGAAAGCGGTGATGACGCAACAAAAATTGTGTTTAAAATGTGGCTGTTTAACAGTTTTACCTAAACTGTGACCAGCAACAGAGACCCCTCCTTTGAAGTCTGGGTTCCGACTCATAAAGAGTGCATGCAGACGGTTTATCTCCATTCCCACTTTTTCCACAATGGTCTGACAGTAGGTGGGGCTGTTGTAAAATAAAATATCTAGCAAGGTTTCATTGGTAAAGTGACGAAAACGACCAATACTTGGTAAAGTGATTTTCTTAATATTCCTGTTCAAAAGAAAAAAAAAAAAAACAGTATATTCAGTTGGTAGCCACCTTAAATCTATGTATTTTTTTAAAGTTTAGACTTTGAATCCTGAAAATATATTGAGTAAAAAACCATCACACAGAGAATATGAGATCTTGCTTCCTGGCATGTCATCAGTTTGGTTCAAATAAACTCATAAAAATTAAAAAAAAAAATCTCCCACAGACTAATTATGATTTGATTTTGTAGACAGTTACAAATAAATCAAAATAAAGCAAAACAGCTGCTGACTGTGCCTGTATCTCTAATACGACTTTTGGATTCTCTGAAGAATTACAAATTAAGGCCTATGAAAATATTTTAATTTTTAAAGAAGAAAGTCTATTCTTCCAATTTATTGGAAATCAAGATACTGGACCAAACTCGTGGGTAGAAAGGACAACAGACAATGTAGCGAGAAGTAAGAAAAGGGCTTAATGGGATAAAAATTCTTCCTGATGAGGATGGCCACAGCGGAGTTCGTGGACATTCATGGACAGGGAAAGAAAATACCCTCGTAACAGGGCACGACATGGAGGGAATGCTGTTTGTAGGAGAAGTTTTATTAAACCACGTGCCTTGAAAGTTGGCGTTCACTAAAATTCGGATGTTATTAGCCCTGTGTCCCAGCATCAATATTACCTAAACTTCAAAAAAAAAATTACCAAAATCTGTGGTTCTCAGTTGGGAGCATTCAAAATTGAGTTGGGACATTTTTAGTTGTCACACTGCCTGGTGAGTGCTATGGGCATTTAGTGGTATTTAGACTACAGATACTAACCATCCTACAAGGCTGACATGACAAAGAATGGTCTTGCCAAAAGAGTCTCCACTGAGAAACAATCATCTAAACCAGGGGAGGTTCTACCCCCAGGGGACATCTGACGATGACTAGACATTTTTGCTTGTCACTTTAGGGGGAGGAATGTGCTACTGTTATCTAGCGGGTAGAGGACAGGAATGCTGCTAAACATCCCACAATGTACCGGGCAGCCCTCTATCTAAACCTCTGTATATTAGTATTTTAAAACCAGCATAAATTCTAGATTCTCTTAAACATTTACAACAGGAATACATATATACATACATGTGTGCATGTGCTCACACACACGCACGCAGAAAAGCAGCATAAAAACTTAACAGCCAGTATTTAATGTGTCAGAACAGGTATAAAATTAAAATTAAAAAATACATTTGTCCAACAGCCAAGATATAAAAGTAACGAAAGTTTCCATCAAAGATGAATGGATAAAGAAGACGTGGTACATATCTAAGTGGAATATTACTCAGCCATAAAAAAAAAAAAAAATGAAATCTTGCTATTTGTGACAACATGAGTTGACCTAGAGAGTATTACGCTAAGTGAAATAAATCAGACAAAAAAAGACAAATACTATAAGATTTCGCTTATATGTGGAATCTAAAAAATAAACAAAATAAAAACAAACTCATAGATACTAAGAATATTTTGATGGTTGCCAGATGAAAGGGGGATTGGAGGGATGGGTGAAAAAAGGGGAAGGGATTAAGATGTATGAATTGCCAGTTATAGAAACAGCCATGGGGATGTAAAGAACAGCACAGGGAATATAGCCAATAATATTGTAATAACCACGTATGATGCCAGGTGGGTACTAGATTTATCATGGTGAGCACTTCGTAAGAATATAAATGTCTAATCACTGTGCTGTAAACCTGAAACTAATATTATATGTCAACTGTAACTGAAATATTTTTTAAAATTTAAATACATTTGTTGAGTCATAATAAACTCCTTTATAGTTTAAATTTTAAATCTAAGTTGGACTAATCTGAAAAACAGATTATCAAAATCCACAAACCTGTCGACACCAGTGGCATCCCCACCCAGGGAACTATGCCAGTGAACCGGAAGGAACTCCACTCTGCTTATTTTCTGATCGTCTAAAGATTTCTTGAAATGGGTCTGGAGCAATTTGAGAGAAACCACCCTAAAATCATCCACTTAAAAAAAAAATCAGGAAAAACAACAAATTAATTAAATTGTCCTAGTTTGATAGGTAGTTAGCAATTACCTCAACTATGCCAGGATCTTTACAACACAAACTTTTCAAGAAAAGAAATAAGGATTTAGCCCCAAAATAATAAACAATGTTTAGAAAATTCTTTAAACTTTTCATTATTTTAGAGAAACATATAAATGACTGAAAAACGTTGAACTACCACATACAGGCAGCATGCACTGTGGGCACAGACTCTGGAATCAAACTACCTGCTCCAAAACCCACGGACCTCAGTGATACGGGGCAGCTTAACTTAGTCTCTGGACCTCAGTTTCTCGCCCAATAGTGGGGATAACAATAATGGCACCTACACTTCAAGGTTTTAAGGGTTAAATAATACAATACAGGCAAGATACTTGGCACATACCAAGTAGTCAATAAATATGAACTATTATACAGACATAAACTTCAAAAATTTATGTAAACCAGGCAGATTCATACTTCCATTAAACAACTTCTCACAACCAGTTCACTATAAATCAGTTCAATATATGTAGGTGTTCCTAGTTGCTGGAAGTGCTCTGGCAGAGGCTGTCAGAAAGACTAAATTATTTCCAAGATCCCATCTAATTCTTTGCAGTCTAGAATTTCATGAGTTATACATGTCATAAGAACAAATCAAGTACAAATAATACCCAGTGATCATTTAAATTTCCCCTTATAGTCCCTCAGCCAGTAGTATACACCTAAAAGCTATCTTAAAAAAAATGAACAATTAAAAAGTCCTTCCAAAAGCTCTCCAATCACTCCATAAAATAAAATGATTAACACTTACCACATTCAATAATGCTTCTAAAGCGCAAGTCACACACAGGTCCAATGCCATGTACCATGAACACCAAATGGTCAACTTGAGGCATCTCCCCTATGAAAGAAATACATGAATAAATACAAGCTGGAAAGTTGTTCGGGTTTTCTTAATTAAATGGCAGCATTCTAGATATCCTTTTTGTCATCATGAACTTGCCAAAGAAATTCATGACCCTTCTAACCTAATGAGCCTCATTACCTTCTACCAAATTAGAAGAGAACTCAAAGTCCGTCCTGGAATAGAACGTGAGCCAGACCAAGGACTGGGGGAAGCAGGCCGTCTCTGATCTCAGAGGCTATGAATATCTGATGTCCAGCAGTTTTCTATCTACTGAGGCTCCAAAACCTTGTGATATCTTCAGAACTCGCCAGGGCACTAAACCCCACGTGGAGAAGTAATTTGTCAATATAAAACTTTAAAACCTTTCCTCCAAATTCTTCTCCTTGATTTGTTAGATTCATACATACCACATATAGGAACATCTCCAAGTTAAATCTACTATTTTATTCTGATTATTTCATTCGGATTCATGAGTACATTCATTTTGTAATTTTGTAAGACAATAAAACAAATATGAAGTATGTAATTGTCCAAGTAAAATCCTATTTTAAATGGTGTAATAGGAGAAACCGAAGCACAAACACTGGAGCAAGGGTTAGCAAACCACAGCTCATGCACCAGTCCCTGCGCACTGCCTGTTTTTATAAACAGTTTTACTGAAACACAGCTATGCCCATTTGTTTATCTACTGTCTGCAGATGCTCTCACACTACAGTGGAAGAGCTGTGTAGATGCAATAAGGCCCACATGGCCTGCAAAGCCTAAAATATTTATTAATTGGCCTTTTCAGAAAAAGTTTGCCACTCCTGTACTAAAGTAACACATACTAGCTGAGATATGACAAAACAAGCCCAAAAGCCTAATTTTGACCAGCACAGGTTCTTTAGACTACATATTTTAGAATCTATATTACATGGTTTGTATACCTTCACAGAATTCTAAAGTAAAAAATAAACAGACAAAAAATAAATTTTTAAAAAGATATGTGCCAGTCTGGCTGATTTCTGAATGTTATGGCAGGTCATCCAAATAACTTTCTTTTTCTCACCATTCTAAAGAATGATGCTAAAATAGAGAAGTCTAGAAATTATCTTGGTCTTAACAAATAATACACACCATCAGGAATCTCATCAAGGTTATCATCGATTCCACGCTTCACAACCCTGGGCCTTGTCTGTCCATCTTGTGTGGTCCCCCATTCATCTGGCACTGATGAAGGCTGGAACTGAACGATAACCTTCAAGATGCAACAGAGGGATAATGAGAGCTCACTAGCAAGTTCGTTCAACTGCAGGCGAAACAATGTATTTCAGTACATAATAAACGACTTCAGAGTACGGATAATTTACAAATCCAGTGCAAGTACTGTTTCCCCCAAAACCAATTCTGTAACAGTCCTGCTAGTGTTCATTAACCATTGAAACTAAACAAATCAAAACCAGTATTTCCAATACTTAAGTTGAAAAATAATATGACTAAATCAGAAGTTGTATACCTTGATTTAGAAACGTAACATATAACCAACGTATTGTATACTTAAAATAATAAAATTAAAAATCACTTAACCTAAAAAAAAAAGAAATGTAACATAAACACTTAAGTTTACACATAAGAAATCAAGTAAAGTTACCTACAATAGAGGAATCTATTCACAAATTCATTTTCAGTGCCAAAAACTAATTTTCCCACCACTTTTTAGGAAGACGTATATTGTTAAATCAACTGTATTAAATAATTAAATCAAACCTGATGTCCTATGAAAATTTTTCTTTCAAAAAAAATGAATGGTATGCAAAATATTTGTACACAAAAGGTTAAAAAATCAGAAGGATAAGAGTTACCATCAACAGGAGACACTGGGGAAATGCAGAGGTAAGAAGCCTTTATTTTTCCTTTGATACCTTTTTATACTGTTTACATTTTCTTGACATATAAATGTTTTATTTTTTTACTTCAGTATCAACAAAAGCTATAGAGATAAGTTAGAATATAGGTTATTTTCGTTTTTATACTTTTCTATAATAAATAAATAGCCTATGTTCTGAGAAACTACTGTGTACCAAGCACTATGCTAAATGCTTTTGCACAAATTACCTCACTCCATCCAAAATATGGCCCTGGAAGGTAAATCTTCCAGGTGAGGAACTTGGAGCTCAGAGAGATTAAGGATGGTAAATGACAGAATGTGAACACCACTAATCAATATCTTAAAAAAAAATAAAAAAAAAAAAGACAAAGAAAAGCTTCTGAAGATAATACAAAGAGGAAGAACATATTTTACTTCTCAAAGATTGAAACAAACCCTCATCAAGGGCAGGGGGCGGGCAAACTACAGCCCGGCCCATAGGCCAAAACTGGATCGTCGCTTGATTTGACAAATAAAGTTTTATTAAAAATAGCCACACCCATTGGTTTATACAATGTCTGTAGCTGCTTTCAGGATAGAAGATAGAGTTAATAGCTGCAACAAAGACCACATGGCGTATAAAGACTTAACTAAATACTTATTCTTTAGCCTTTTACAGGGAAAGTCAGATGATCCCTGATCAATTGCAAAAAAAAAAAAAATTTATCAAGCAACTTCTATGGTACATACCAAGCTTCAGTTAACATGTTGCCATACACAGGAACTTCATGAGACAATTTTAAATTTAAATTTCATTTTTGTTTCTATGATCAATGTGAACTTAAAAGCAATGCACTTGTTATATACATGTATAACCTAACTGCAGAAATTAATAAACATTCATCAAATATATTTGGCAAAATAATTATTTAAATGACCCTCAACACTTTCCTATCTTAAATGATTACCTTGGGATTGTGTATGACAATTGTCTCTCCACTTGGAAACTCCAATCTGCGGTGCCACTGATTCGTGGTTACAGCTTTTTTATATTCAGCCTACAATAATGGAAACAGTATATAATCCATTATGACAGATCTATATCATATTAAGGAAAATTGTGGAAGAAAATTATAACTATCATGGTAATTAAAACAACAGTAATAGAGCTCTACTATACTTATCACTTTACATATATTATCTCATTTAATTAATTACTCTCGATCATTCCTAAAAAACATCATCCCCATTACACAGAGGCAAAAATCAAGATTTAGACAGTGTTTCCTAGAGCTACCATAACAAAGTGCCACAAACTGAGTGGCTTAAACCGACAGAAATTTATTGTCTCACAGGTCTAGAGGCTCAGAGTCTGAAATCGGGGTGTCAGCAGGGCCATGTTCCCTCTGAAACCTCTTGGAATCTCCTTCCTCACCTCTTCCTAGCTCCTGGAGGTGTGCCGGCAATCTTCGGGGCTGACTGGCTTACAACTGCATCACTCCAATTCTCTATTTTCACGTGCCATTCTCCCTATGGCTGACTTATAAGGACACAAGTTGCACTGGATCAGGGGCTCGCCCTATTCCACTATGATCTCGTCTTAAATAATCATATCTGCATCGACCCTATTTCCAAACAAAGTCACATTCTGACTACTGGATGTTGGGACTACAACATATCTTTTTATTTGGAGGAAGAAGGGAGGACACAATTCACAGTTGCACGAGATTACACATGGGTAAGTAGCAAAGACTGAACTGTGGTTCACTCCCACCACAGCTTTCTGACACCAAGGATCTGACTGTTCAACCATTCCCTTGCTCTTCCTCCAGATATACTACCCTGCTTTCTATAAGGCAAGAGTCTGAGGATCTCTTGAAGAAAGATTCAAGACAAGGTAAGGGAAACCTCTGGTACACCCAAGGTCCAAAATCTTTTTTTTTAATTAGTAACAGTTATTATCTGGCAATCATGTCAAAATAGAAGAGTTTTTGTCTCCCGGACAATAGTAACAATTGCTCTAAATCAGCGCCCATCCATCTGACACTCTTCTTCACTTTAATTTTTAAATATATTTATTTATAATTTTTAAAAGAAAGATCACAAAAATAAAATGTTTAAAGATAAGTTTCACTATCTCAAGAATTATTTTCACTTCTTCATATTCACTTTCAATCTATAGCTCTGTAAAAAATCTTGTCTGGTAGACATATCATATTCTTCAAAATGGTCTTGGTTACTCTTGACACTTTGACCTTCCACATAAAATTTAGGAGTTTACAAATTTTACTTTAAAAAAAAAAAACCCCGATGTGATTTTGATTGGGATTACATAAAATTTACAAAATAATTTGGGAAGGACTGACATCTTATATCAAGACTGTGACATCTACGAATATAATACTTAGCTTCATTTCTTTGAGGTCATCTTTTACGTACTTCACTACAACTTCATAGTTTTTCTCCATAAAGCCCATACGTATGTTTTGTTGGACTTTTTTCCTACTTAGCTTTAGTTTTATTTTTTTTATAAATAAAAAAGAAGATACTATTATGGTTTCTAACTGGTTATTCCTATTGTATAGGAACGTTATTGATTTGTGCAGTAAGTCTTCACTTAACGTTGTCAATAAGGTCTGGGAAACTGCAACTTGACTGTCAGCTCTAAACAGAACATAAGGCCTGGTCCTTGCTTGAAGCTATTCAAATATGAACTAGAGAAGATTAACATTTAAAGGCCCTTTTGCATGTTAATATTAGTGTTGTTTTAAAGTTTAATGTTAGTGTTGGTTATACCAGTTTTGATAATTCCTACATTAAAAAATAGTAACTAAAATGTTCTAGATTTCATTTCCTAGGTAAGCTGTTGAATTCATTTATTTCAAATATTTAATACTTAAATGTTAAATTAATTAAAATACTTTCAATATTTAATACTTTAATGTTAAGTAGAATTATCGTAAGAAATAAACACAATTATCTAAAACAACATTAACCATCAGTTTCAAAACAGCGAATAAGTCTCAGGACAGTTGTTCTTTCTCTGCTCCATATTCACTTTCATAAGTCAGAGGATAATTTCAAGCCTTTTACTGAATATTAATTTGAAAAGCATCTATATGCTCGGCATGTATTGTCAACAACAGATCCCAGCAGTCTAAGTTCTTTCGAAGGTTTGATAAAAGTGCCTTAATAGATTTGTGATGTGCCCCTGAAAAACATTCTATCTTTGGGTACTAAGGCCGCCGTTAGCACTTTGTGACTTATGACGCCACTGAAAAAGCGACTTTTGTGCACAGAGTCAAGATAGGCTCTCTTGTAAATAAAGCCTGCGCCATTGTGGGTGGTGTTACACGGGCTCCAATGTATACAGGGCCCACATTTTTTAAAGAGAAGCATCAAGGAATAAAGCCCACGTACCTCTAGTTTCTCACTGAACTCCTCTGTATAGGGAATAAACCTGCTATCTGTGTCCCCTTTGTAAAACCAGGTACAGCGTCTCACTTCGGCTGGCTCCTCTTCCCAGTACACAGCCTTCCTCACTCGGTCATAGAGGTAAACGTCGTAGCGCCCTCCGTCCGTGCCCAGAACCACACTCTCGGGGTCTGGCTGGACTGGAGCACAAGTCCACATTTTAACCCAACAGTTACAAGGTATATTCAAATTAACAAATGAATACAGTGAATACAGTGACTAGCTGACCCTTAAAGACAAAGAACTAAGCTCACTTTTGTCTAAAAATAGAAGTTCAAGATTAATCTGTGCTGATCTAAATTATGATCCTTCTTAAGAAGAAATAGCCAGGGCGAAATTTTAAAACATGACCATAAAATAATTCAAATAACTGGTGCATTTTTAAAAATCAAATCAACAATGCTCCATGAAGTATATTTCTAAAGAATATTAATAGGTAATTTTAAAGTACCATGATGAAATATGATCAGGACAAACAAAGAAACATATTTCTATACTGCAAGACTCCTCAGAGCCTTAACACACTCCTGTGCACTATCTCAAAAGTAGACGGAGTTATGGCACTTCCAAAATTCACCTAACCATGGAACACTTTTTTCACAGCATCTTCAGAAAGAAGAGTTCCACAGAAAAACGCTTTGTAAGTGCCCTGTCACTACAAATGAGTAAAGGAAATAAGAAAATTGACACCCCCAAAAAAAGGAAAACAAGAAAGAAAACTGACACCTGAATTATATGAACTACTCCATTTCTCTGATTTAAAACGCCTTCAAACAAGGAAGAAAGTTACTAAAATATTTCTTCAAATACCTTGCTCGAATAACTCGAGACTTATATCAGTATCATCATCTTAAGGTACAGAATTTGGTGGGGTCTCCAAAGATTAAGGAATTTGACCTTCACAAAAAGCCATAGATAAATACTCTTTGTTTCTTCTCTTCCTACAGTCAGATATGATACACGCTCAGTGCTTACCTGAATTATAGACTTCTTCAAGATTCAGAGAGTCAAACATGCTGAAAGGCATCCACAGTTGTTTGTATTCTACCTCCTTGCAGTAAAACCAGTGGGGCTGAACAGGTTCATATTGGTTTTGAAGTATAAAAGGAGGTGGCACTTGCACAGAGGAACCCACAGGTCTAGCAAGTGCCTGCTGTTGTGGAGGGGACAACCCTGACTGCACTGAAGGAGGAACCTGGAAGGGACAAAAAAATTAAGACCATGATGTTTGTTCGAAGGAAAAGTTTGATCTATGCTTTGGGCCCATTACCAGAGTTTGTGTATTGTTATGTTTTAAATTAAATAAAATGAAGCCCATTCTTTATCCCCAAGAGTAAAGTTAGGTTACATTCTTGATTTTAATACTGCTATCTCTGCCACTTTGGGTTGGGTTCTTAATTCTTTCTTTTAATTGGTTCTCTTTTTTTGATTTAGTTGATTTCTCTTTGAAAGTCAGTTGAATAATTAGTTGGAGAAAAAGCATAAGGGAATTTCATAAAATTTACCCAAGACAAATGTTATTCCACTACTCTCCTAAGACAGTTTAATTGTCTGGATCCAAACTCCATGAATGTAAATAAAAGAAACTACTAGGGTAATCAATTTTAGTCCTCGTAAGTGAGTGTTTCGATTGAATAGTGTAATTAAAAAATGAGAAGCTGCAATCTTTAAAGATAATAATTGCTTCAACTCTCACATGTCCTTAGATCACATTTATTATTGGCATCTTACACTAAAATCTGGAAGTACTGGCATAGGTTAACTCATTAAAATCAATTCCTACTTCAGTAAATAAATAACATAAACTAAAATGTGAACCATTCAGTGAGCTACCTTTAAAAGAATGTTAACTTCAAAGCATATACCTTAAACAGAATATCCTCTGAAAATAATCTGTCATACTGATTATAGAAAGTATAGTCCTTTTCAAAACACAGGCTAAATGAGAGATTAAAAATTAAAGTGAATAATCAGGATATAAAAACGTTTCCATACCGGTGGCAAAGATCCTGGAGGCATCTGGTACACCTGAACAGGGGATCCAGAGGGTGGAGGATGGGTGGGATGGCCTGGTGTTTGGCACTGTTGCAGCTGTGGTGGTGTAATGTAAGGATTAGCTCTGCTGCTTACAGGAGTATGGCGATAAGGATTATATCCTTGTTGGGGTATTCCTTGGGGTGGGCTCCCAAAATTTGAAGGAGGGAGGCTACTTGGCTGAGAAGGCAGGTAAGTATTTATTCCCATCTGTGAAGAAGGTGGAGCACCATACTGAGCCTTCGAAACCGATGGTGGAAAAGCATTCGACACGTCTTGGGATCCAGTGGTAAAAGGGAGAGCAGCTGGGGGCTTAGAGAATGCTGACTGTCCAGCTGATGTGGCTGCGGTTGTTAACGGTGACTGTCCAATAGTCCCAAAAGGGTCACTACTGCTTGATACCTGAGAGAAATAGCTAAATGTCTGTGGGGTGGATGTGTGAGCAGAAGTCTGACCAAGGAAGCTGTCCTCCTCACCAACATCTGTGGAATCCTCTGAAAGGGACAGGAGAGCAACGGTTTATGCTCTCGTTCTGCAGATATGATTCTACACAGCAGATCTAACCCCTGTACCTCTTATTTTGTCGTTCAAATGTAAATTTCTGCATTACAGAAAAAAACGAACAACTTTTTCTTTGAAAACTTTTCTTTAAAATGAAAAACTAGAAAATATGAGTAAGAAACAAGAAAAGAAGTAAAAGTTATAATTCATTTATAAGCCCATCACTCAGGGACAATCACTGTTAATATTTTAGTACATACCTTCCCATACTTTTTAAATAAACATAAATACATATAATTTATTTTGTAAATATATATAAATTATACATACTTTTATGTAAAGTTTTTTAAAATAAAAATCTATACCTGCTATTTTTACGTTCTTTTGAATGTTCTTTTTCCCTGGTAAGAAATCAAATATTATTCCATTACCCAAATACACGTAATTTTACTTCTACAGTAATGACAAGAAACCAAAGTACAAACATTACCTCTGTTGACAAGAAGAGGTGTGTCAGGGCTCTTACCTACAAAGCACTCACTGTACAAATGCACACGTGGTATTTGTATTCACAAGGCAAAGTAGGTCAACCATGAATTGCCATCCCAAAAATCGCAGAGTATCACAACCAAGTAATTCATCATTATAGAATACCAAATCACTAGAAAAGTCATTTCTAACCAAGGGAAGCTCTCTTCACTTCCCTTTGTCCAACTTGATCTTCACTGCAGGTGTTACCAGCACCAAACTATCTTCACTTCCGCTACGGAGTCCTACGATAAAAGCATTTTCCCTCTGCCTGGCCTCAAAAGTCCAGCCCACTCTTCCTTACTAAATTTTCATGAGCCCTCAGCTCATTGTAACTTTCATTTTCCTCTCCCTAATCAGATCAGAGGGGTGGACCCACTCCCAGCACACAGGCACACTGTGGTCCCTAACCTTGAGACCTGCCAAAGGGCCTTCTTTCAAGCTCCGGGCTCCTCCTTGACCTGCTTAAAGAGCCACTGGTCTTGCAGAGATTCTGGCGTGAGCTTCTAGGTTGCTGCCATTATGTTTCATCAATTTAATTAAAATAATCTACTATTCAAAATACTCCTCTTTTTGAAAAGAAAAGAAAAGATTAAAGAAATACTCCTCTAGGTTGTTTCTTTGAAACTAAAAATATCACCTGCTCAAGGCCCTTGGTCTTGTACTATTCCACTTTTCTTACACCTGTCCAGTTCCCACCATCTCTTTCCAGTCATGTAAACCTCATTTGGACTCACCTGTGTTTCTCAGTTCATCTGTCAACAACTGAAAGCATGGAAAAACCTCTGTACTATCTTTTATCCTTTAAGACAACTTGGGGATCTTTTTCTGATTATCATCAATTGCAAATGAAATGCTGATCTCACTCTGATGATGGTCCCACCTCAGGGGCCTTTTCTAATTAATGTGGATACATTTGCCATTAAGACCCACTACTTTAATGAACACCTACCTGTATACTTGTGACACTCCCAACTCTGTCTCAAACCAAGGGTGTTATCTTTAGTTCCAGGAGCTATTTTCCAACTGCTTCCTCAATACTTTTGGCAGGCTCGGCCACATATACCCCAAACTTAATAAGCCTAAAATGGAATTTAACATCTTCGCTGCTCCCCTCCATGTGCTCCTTTTACCACATCTCAGTATCTCAAGAGATATTTGCGACATCCATCCCATTCACTCAAACCAGAATCCTCATCTCTCAGACCTCCTCCTCTTTCTCATACCCTTCATTTAATCACTCAAATCCTCATTCAAAAAATATATACACAGTATCCATTACATGCCAAGCACAGAGCTAGGTCTTGGGACTAAAACTGAATGAGATAAAGGGGCCCCTCTGTGCTGACAGAGCAGACTGTCTGGCCTCCAGTGTGTCACTAAGTCCCAACAATTTTATAGTCGAAAATCTTTCACATCTGTTCCCTGCTCTTCATACCCAATGTGGCTGACTAGGGCTAGAGCACCATCCACTCCTGCCTGACTCCAGGCTGACCGCTCTTGCTACATCAGCTTTACTCCAGCACAATCTCAGAAAACACCAATCTTTCCGAAACACACCTCTAATTTTGCTGCCTTGTATAAAATCCTTCAAAGGCTCCCCCTACTCCCCATAGGATGCCTTCAAACTTCTCAATATGTTAAATGACGCCACTCCCCTGCACACACTGTAGTCACACTGATCTACTGGGAGAGAGGAGAAGGGACAAGGAAAGAGAGGGAAAAGGGAGGAGGGATGGAGGGAGAAGGAGAGGAAAGAGAATGTGAGCACCTACCACCAAATTCCACCCAATCTCCAAGTTTCTTACACTTCAGACTTTACATGTGCCTATCTCTCCAGACTCTAATTTCTGTGTATCTGTCAACACTGAGAGGAAGAATCACTTCCTCTGTGAGGCCCTGAAGACCTAAAGGATTTCCTCTCCCAGGTCAGCCAGCCTGAAACCCACAGCTCTGACAGCGGCCTATCAATCCCTCTCTCTAGCCATTACAAACCAGCATGACAACTATTTGCACAGTCAGGTATTGTGTTTATGTATACTGAGCAGTCATTGAGGGCAACGCTATCTGCTCTTCGTGTCTCCCGGACGTCTGGAACAGGGCCTGGCAAACGGAAGCTGCTCAACCCATGTTTTTTGAATGAATGAAATTGTTTCCTATGTGTCTCTTTCACTGAGTTGACTGTTGCTTCCAATGAGACAGGCTCTTTTGTCCTTGGAAATTCTCTGAGTTTCTAATGATCAAATCTCTTTCAGAGACGGAAAAATAATTGTTATAAAATTTTAGTTCTAAAAGCTATTAATTTTCTCATTAAAAAATAAGCTATCTCTAAGAAATACGAGTCTCCAAGATAGGTACAGTTATCCTGTACTTGACAATGGAAATGTTTAGCACTGATACACACAAACCAAATACTGTATAGCAAGGAAGATGGGCATGAACCAAACATGTGTGAAGCAGAAGATGATATAAAAGCCCCATATTATTCCTGCAACCTCCCACAGCATTCTACTCCAGCCATGCTAGTTCTTCACCAAAAATGGCAATGCCTAATCTTCCAGCCACACTGTCAAAATGAGACATACATATTCCTGACTCCCATCTTTTCTTTCATTCAATAGATAGCCATTGAAAATTTGTTCTACAGCATCCCAAGCACTGTTCCAGGTATAAGTTCCTGCTCTCATGGAGCTTACATTCTAGTGGGATAAGATGAATGAATATGTGTATGTGTCACGTGGTGATAAGCACCAAGAAACAAAACACAAGGAAAAGGGAATCTGCATGGACAACTGCCTCCAGTTTGCCCTTCTTTGCTTCTCTATGAAACTGTCCTTAGACCTCCAAGCAAGATAAATTATTCAATGGAAAAGTGTTCAGCATTTAATGAAGATCTATGTGCTAGGCACTAAAGATCCTAGAAATAAAAAGGTAAATAAGTCATTGCTGCAAACCTCAAGAAGCCCACAGTCCAAAGAGAGGCATGTTTATTTCGCAAACATTTACATAATACTATGTGTGAGGGCCCATATTCAATGCTTTACAAAAATTAATTCACATATCGTTACAATCCAATGAGGCAGCATACAACAGAAATTGAAGCAGAGAGGTAAAGTAACATGCCTGAAGTCACACAGCAAGTTGCTGGCAGGGTCAGAGCTGGAACACAGTCTGCGCTCCTAAACACCATGTTCCCTCTGGGTTATGCCACATAATCGTTATAAAGCAATCTCCCTACAATAATAAAGATGTGAACGAGGAGCTAAGGTGCGCATAGGAGTGGGGACCTAAGAGAGGAAATGATGCACCGTTTTTGAAAGATGAGGATTGCATTCTGCACCTCTACTTTGCAAAAATTATACGCCAATCCTAGGAGACATCCCATTATATCCTACTGTAACCTAGGAGAGGGAACACTATCTGATTTATGTGCATTCCCTGCAAGTACCTGGCTCACCGGTAGGTGTTCAACAAAAACTTGTGGAATGCCAGCGCAGGAGTGCCCGGCACTCGAAACAGAGGGCTCCTTCAGCGAAGAACAAGCCTTATGACCCGGCCCCTCGCCTTCAAGATCCCAAAGCACCCAAGCCAGTCAAACTTGGCCACTGATAACCCTGGCCCGTAACCCAGAGGGTCAGATGCAGGCAGGAGGAAAACCTCCAGTCCGCCCCTCGTCACCCCATGCCCTCGCCCGCCTCCCCGCACACACTCGCCCGAGCGGACTCCCCCCTCCCCCCCTCTCCTTACTACCTCCGGGCAGGAGCAAGGAGGCCGAGGCAGCGGCGGCTTGGGTGACGGGGATGAAGGGCACGTTGAAGCTGAACTCCGTGGCCGAGGATGAGAAGAGCAGATTGGTACCCGACGAGGACATGGAAGCGGCACCGCCGCCACCGTTAGGTTTTCTGTCAGCCATGGCTGCGGCCCACCGTCCGTTACACGTCTCCGGGCAGCCGGTGCGGCACCACCGGCCGGAAACCAGTCACACTCGGGACCCGCACACTTCCGCACTTGCGCACAAGGGCCGGAACTCCGGGCGGCTGGACAGCGGCCCTCTCCCTGCCCCTGGCTGGCGCCGCCAAAACTTAAGATGGCGGCGCCGGCTTCACGCCCGAGTGCTGGCACGTGACACCCTCAGCCGCCGCCCGGGCGCAGCTGGAGGCGGAGTTGGAGGCTGGGACAGGATCGTGGGAAAGGAAGCCCTGCCGGTTCGGAAACAAGGAACGAGTTGACGCTGGAAGTCACGGATTGCGGGGGCGCGTTGGGCTTTCTAAAAGTACTGACGGGAGCGCTTAACTGGGAAAGATTTGAAGGAACAGCGGAAACCTGCAGGAGCAGGTAGCAGAGTGCTGTCCGCAGACGGAGGTATGTGGGCCATCAGCAGCCAAGGCCTAGGCAAACTCACCCATTCTAGCACCCACATCTAACCCGCCCACATGTCTTTCTAGACAGAATGGAACTCTTGTCGTGGGCCCAGAAATAGAAATGGTAAGACGTTTGAAGGTTTTAAACCATAAAGGTTAAAAAAAAAAGTTTAAAAGAGAGACCACATGATTGAAATTTAGGGGTGTGACTTTTTAAATAGCTTTCTATATATGTCTACGATAATCTGACTAGTCCCAAAATCACTGCGGATAATGTGGGTCTAATTGTCATTTTTCATGTAGTTAGAGATTATGAAAAAAAAAGATAAGCAGCTTCTTGGAGAGTGGGAGAAGGAGATAGAAGAGGCCTCTGAAGAAGCTTTCACACCTATATAGAACCTTTCTATTAATTCAATAACTATTTAGTGTGCTTAGTGACAGAGATAAACAACACGAGACACTAATTAAAGCAGTAAGAATAGATTTTATTCAGTATTAACTCTTGCAATAAAGAAGGTACATCGTGAACTAAACTTTCCCAAAACAAAAGGCTCTAGAATTTTTAAAGACTGTGCTAAAGCAAAGGCACTGAAGGGTGGCAAAGGGTGTTGGTCCATGTGACTAGGCCACCTGGGTTTATTAATTGGCACTTATCTGGAGGAGCAACAAACTTTTCTTATCTTTATGATAGGCAGTGGTACAAGTTAGACCAAGGTACCCACCAGGCTGGGCGGAGATAGCTCTCAGGTTCCCAAGAAGATATTTCTGGATGACAGAAGATGTGTATCTTAAAGGGGCGGAGAAAGGATTTATAATTGCAAGCTTTCTAAAGGAACTCCCTTAAGAAAGGGTTCAGGAGACTGTATGCCTATCGCCAGGTTTTGGCTAGAACAAACAGTAAATTCTCCTGGCAGTATTGAGCTTTCTCACACAGGGATAGAGGTCATCCTAGACACATGATCTTAAGCTGCTGGAAGCCGTGCTGAAGGCTTTGGCCAAGGGGAGAGTCTTTGTCGTGAATACGAGTGGACAAGGTAGTGTACCAAACAATGGGGGTACTGTGGTATATAAGGTAGACACAGGACCCTTCCTTCTTGGAGATTGTCATGTCTGTCAAAAAGACACCTAAACACATAATAATAAACTAAAGTGTGATGGCTGTTACAGTGTAGCATTTCTCAACGTGTGTTGTGTTATGTGGACTAGTGATACCGTCAGGAGAGAGCAGTATAACCCTTCTGTGAGGAGTGATAGCAAATTTCGAACAATCAAGCCATCAACAAAAGACCTACCTAGTGACGTGAAAGGCTTCCCTGAAGAAGAAAAATTAAAGTTAATACCCGAAAGAGTTAGTAGAAATTATCTGGAAAAGCTTGGGGAGGAGGAGTTGGAGGAATTGGTAAGAGACAAGTTCCAGATAAAGTTAGAGTACATAGGGCTCCCCTGAGATCCCACCATTGGGTGTTAACAGAAACATAGGTTAGAGCATGGCTGGAGCCCAATGAGCAACTGGGAGAAAGTTGGGAGATGAGATGAAAACCGGATGAAGGCCAGGGGATGCAGAGTCTTACAAGAGCAAAAGGGAGTCAAAGAAGGGTGTAAAGGAGGGTGGAGAAACAATAACATTTGGTCTGTAGAAAGTCCACTCTGACTGCAGTGTAATAAAACAGATAAGGAAAGAGCAATCCTGGAAGTAGGACAAGCAGTTGGCAGGCTGCTGAAGTAGACCAGCCGAGCAATGATGGTGGCTCAGATTAAGTGACTGCAGTAGGAATGAACAGAAATAGGAATAATTTCTGGGGAAAGATGTCAGACTGAACAGATGTATCTTCATTTTCTTCCTCCTGAAACTGTTGAAAACACAAATGGGTTTGTTTGTTTTTTTAAGCTTAAGTCCATACGGATGGGAAGAATGAGAGAGGATGCTACAGCAACAGCATTTGGGAAGGCACCAAAGAAAAAAAAAATGGACAAGTACTAGATGATTTAGAAAATCAGTAATGGAGAAAGCTCAAAGGCAACTTTATTGGCACCATAGAATCACCAAAAGTTATGTGACCTGCTAAGAACTTCAGGCACCTCAAGAAGTGGCAGTGA